AGTCTTAAAGCTAAATCCCTTGTTAATCTTGCGTTAATACTAATTTTCAGTCGTTAGTATCGTAAGATAACAGTATTGTAAAATTTGTTATATCAAAATTCGTTGTAGAAAGAGTTGACTGTATTATTTTTAGATAATACAGCTTTAATAGCTCATGCTTGGTTATTTGCTTCTTCCAAATCATGTGATGCAGCAGCAGCAATTGCAGTATGAAATTCAGGTTGAAGTTCTTATAAAAACTGATAAATTTTCTCATTTTTTGGTATATTATAATCTGGGTCAAGTTTAAGATATAAAGATTCAACATCAGTAGCATAATATTTAATTGATTGTCTAGAATATTATTTACATTATTTACATTAATACTTAAAAAATAGTAGACAAAGGATCAATGTTTATATTGCTAATCAGTTTAATTATCCTAATAATTCAAGTCTTTTCATTTTGGTTTTATTATATCAGGTAAGAATGGATCCTTTTAAAAATAAGGGTACTAATGTAAGATGTTTCCTATTTGAGATTCTATAACATTATTATATCTTTCTAACCAGTTTTAGGGATCTTGGTTTCCACCTTTAAAAGTTGTTAGTTGACAAATTTCACTTCTAGTTGTTCATCAAAACCAACAGATTTGAAGATTATTTGAAGTTTATACATTATTTAATGAAATTCTTGTTTTTTTAACTACTAGTATTATCATCATTATTATCATTGAATGGATTATCTTCTGATTCACTATCATCAGTGCTATTATCTTCAGAATCTGAGTTAGAAAAAGAGGAGGAACTATTGTAATAAGATGAAGAGTAATAATTCTTCTTTTTATCTAATTTGTTTTTATTTTGATTTTTGTTTTCAGATTGATTTTGTGATTCTTCTGGTCTGATGCAAGAAGAACTATTTCTGGGTTGTATTTTTATGACTAAATATTAATCCTTTATTTCTTGCTTTAGTGAGTGGTGGATTTGGTGATCCTGTTTCAGAAGGAGGCAAGATTGACTATCTTCTATAAATAGATTCATAATTTAGTATTAGATTAATAGTTCTACTTTTACTAGAAGTAACATTTGTGATGATAGTATCATCAGGTTGATAGCTATTATCATATATGAAATTTCTATCATCATTTTTATTTATTGGTTCAGATTGAGAACTCTGACTAATAGTTATAGTTTTAGATAACCTCCAGTCATTTTGGATTATTTTTGAGGTTAAATTTAGAGCTTCGAATCAGGCCAGGTCAACCTGTGATCTGACCTGACCTGAAAAATCCAGGTCGGGTAGACAAATTTTCAGGTCAACATCAGGTCGGGTCAAGCTTATGACCCGACCTGAT